CAAGGGCTTGGTACTTAACTCCATGTCCTTATCTGTAAATTAAGAGAATTACTTTTTCCAATTATACATTTTCAAGTTGTCCCTGAAGCCTCTCAGAGGAATCAAACTTGCTAACCAACAGCCTGAGTACATGGTAGGTGCTCAACAAATTATAATGGGATTGAAATGGATATGATTAAGGAACTGAAATTGAGTTCACCTTCCTCAACTCAGTTTGTCATTTCTGAGGAGCGGCACTGTCTTAACACATTGTGTTGTAAAGGGGGCAGTACTTTACCGAATAAGATTAAAATTTTCTCAAGGCATAAAAAAAAGTAAGACAGGCGAAAACGATGTTCAGATCCCACCATCATTTAAAGAATCAGTCTTTGGGGTTCACAGCTGGCAGTGTTCATTAGAAGTCATCAGCACCACAGTCTAATTAAAGTATTCCAGAATGCCATATGAGGAGTACATTAAGTGAGCGTGGCATAAGATGGCCCAACCCGATTCTTCTTTCTGTAGAACATCCATCAAGTTAACAAAACTACCAGAGAATAGCTCTAGGGTGAAGACCCCTTTCCATAGGAGAAGTATCTCTCCATATTCCACAATGGAAAGAAGCTCAAGAGATTTTATTTTGATTTGTTTATGGAACAAAGTACTAAGAAGTTATATTTTATTACAGGTCTGTATTATACACATAGATTTTCTTCCTATGATTTGAACCACCAAAAAATGTTTAATTGGGTAATTTTGAGAGGTATAAATTTTGTATCTTGGATCTAATCACAATGAAAATAGCCTAGAAAACCAACTTTGATATTTCCTAATAGCTAGTCTCAATAGGTATCTGGACCTTTGCCCTCAGATTTCAAAGGGCTGCTGTAACTAATGTTTCCACCATTAAAAAGGAGAGATTTATTCTGCTTGATCACTGAAAGAATCATTCACCTTGAAAATAAAAATGAGGGAAATAACTTACGCTCTCTAGGCCTTCAGTTTTAAGAAGCTCAGGACTGTTAAAAATGGAACACAAATGAAGTTTTATGAGGCTGCCATCTAAAAGGAGCCTGTTTGAGGAGCCTCCCTGGTGGTGCAAGGGCTTGAGATGCAGCGCTATGAAGCTATCGGCAGCCACTGAGGCACGAGTTCAATCCTCTGGTTCAGAACCACAGCAAGAAGACTGTGATTTTACTCAAGGGCTTCTTGCAAGTTCAGCTGATGCTCTTGACTAATATAAAAGTTAATGCTACTTCAAGTTGATCCCTTTTATTCCAGTTTCCGTAACATTAATTTATTCAATTCCTGTAACATTAATGTAAAACATTTTCATGGGCCTAAATCCTCAACCTCTGTGTCCTAGTATTTATTTTAATTCAATTACAACTTCTCGTTTCTGTAACGTGACTGAGGCTTTGATGTCCACAGCTCTTGCTAGATCCACGGGCAGGGATACGATGATGCAGGAACAAGCCACCAACGTACAAACCACAAAGCTTCGACCTTCCATCTCTGTGTCTTGCCTTGAAAATCTGCTCACTCCACAGCACAGATTAGATGCAAGAGTCATCTTCTTGTGAAGCACATAATCTATTTAACCAGCTTTCAAGTAGTCCAGTCACATCTAGACACAACGCTCGGAAGCCATTATGGCTCATTCGTTGGCTCTCTGCACAGCATGTCAACGAGCTGCAGGCCCTTCACCTCAGTCGGGGTCAGCGCCAACATCCAAGGTGGATTCAAGACACCAGCGTGGGGCACAGCCCTCCACCCTGATCGCTTTCTGAAGCAATGCCATTCAGTCTGCGACTCCCAGTGGCATCTGCAAATACAACCAGCTGGGAGAGAACAGATGACAAGACAGACCAGGACACTGCTAGCCCTTCCCCAGCCGAGGCCGCAGAGGCAGAAGGATTTGCAAGGTCCTGACACAAAAAGAGCAGAGGGACAGAGGCCACACTGGCCACAGAAGCACCCCACTGGCCCAGATATGCAGCTCCTATAGGAGCCTCAAAATTCTGCCAACTACCTCCTTGGTGTCCAGGTTTTTTAAGAGGACAGAGAGAAGCAGTAGGAAAAACAGGCTGGCAACGTGAGCCTAGGCCCAGCAGGACTCAGAGCTGCAAGGAAGGCTTTTCTGCAGAGGAAGAAGCCAGTTTCGAATCCACCACCCCTGCAGACAGATCAGCTGGCCACACCTACCACAGTGAGTCTCCCCAAGCTATGAAAGGGCTTTGGTGTTAGGGGAGGAGGAGGAAATGTCAAGCATTGCCTTAGAGCAAAGCAACGAGGGCGTCTCTGCCATGAGTGATGCAACACACATGATGGGAAGCAAAATCATGGGAACCTCCCTATACCCAGGAAATCCCAGATAGGAGCCCGGAAAAGCCCCACCACATGTGCTGACACCATCCCCAGGAGAAGGCAGCTGAGCCTTGGCACATTCAGCAGGAAGCAGAGCAGAATCTAGTTCCATCAAGTTCTAAAATTCTGGACATGTGGGGAGTTCGTTTGACCCACTTTGCTCCATCAGGAAAGAGGCCATTGTCAACTACTTGTTTTACAAATGAACGAGAAGTGGAATGAAACGAGAATCGTGGCCATCACATCTCATCAGAAAATGGTTAGGCTTTAAATATTTATGCCAAATGTGGCAAGAATACTTTGCAAAAGTAATGACATCTTTGTAAGAACAGACCAGGAAAAGCCTTTCTCTGATAAGTTTTCCTGACAAGGCAGTTAAGATGGCTGGTGGCGGCTTGAAGAAGCAGGAGTTTGCAGATAAGAGGAATCAAAGTCCTTGCTGTCCTCTTCCAGAAAGGAACGTAAGTGGGGCCAATCCCTCACTAGACAGAGCACACTCCAGGCGCAGCATTCAGAAGCCCACTCGGGCCGCCAGTGTGGCTGCTACTGACGGGGCCAATCTGGGTCAATTTGGAGCTGCATGTAAGACAGGATGCTCCAGGCCAGTATGGGCTCACTTAGTCCACCAAGATTTTGATTCACGTATTTCACACAACCTCATTTACTATTGTTGGGTTCAACGTGCTATTAAGACCAAATTCCTGGGGCCTCCCTGGTGGCGCAAGGGGTTAAGTCACAGCGCTATGAAGCTATCCACATCCACTGTGGCCTGAGTTCGATGCCCAGCCAGGGAGCTGACCCACATGGCACAGAAGACCTCTCCAGTTTCTCTGCCGCTCCCCTCAGTAGTGTATTTCAGTAGATCTGCCTGTTCTGCTCCCCACTCTGTCTCTGGTGAATCCTCTCACCGCCCCTGTACCTCTGGCCTGTGCCCAGTTCCTGTATGAATAAATAAATCCTTAAAAAAAAAAATTTAAAAGAAAATGTTTCCTTGAAATATATTTTTAAAGGAATTTCTATTCAATATTTTGATTTAATCTTTTATGTCTTAAGTTCTTATTCTTAAGGAGTTAAATAACATGCAAAAGAAACTCTGAAATCTATGTGTGTCTTCAAGACTGTCTTCCCTGTAACACTCAATAAAAGTCCAGCATAATCAATCCATTGCCAGTAGCTGTTTACAGGCAACTGTCAGCTCACTGAATGTGGGTGGTGGGGTGACAATGGAGACGGTGGTGGAGTGACAATGGCGGTAGTGACGATGGCATTGTCTGTCATTAGTGGGAGGGTTAGGAAACAGGACATCATCATCTAACCTAAGACCTGAATCATCTAACACTTTCAGGGCATCTCACTTGCTGTCGCATAAAGTTTAGTCAATCTGGGAGGAAATAACAAAGCAATGTCACATCCTTCACCTCCATCATCAGGCTCTACCTGAGTCCTACGTGTCTGGGCTTGCAGACACAGGGAGTGGGCACTGCGAGCCGGCCCTCCAGTGAGAAGCAGAAACACAGACAGGTGGGATTAATGGCTCAGAGGCCATTCATGTGCTTTCAGACCCCAACAATAGCTGCAGAGTTGACTTTCTTTTTGAAAATGGGAAATGAGTTTCCAGCCCAGAGAGAGGTCTGCATGGAGAGGCTGCAGAGAGCATCCACTTCTTGATGGGATCGTTCTCCTCCAGAAGAAGACGCCCACTGCAATGAAGCCGTAACTTTTCCACTTAACACAGCCATAGCACGCAGCACAACCTCCAGTGCATTTTACAGTCAAGCCAAGAAATAAGATTACAACCAGCAGATAAACACAGGCTCCAATAATGCACAAAGGACAAAGTGAGACACACCGAGTTCCCAGACTAGCCAGGAACTCTCGGGGCAGCCCAGGCCCAGGTGGCTCCCTCCCTGAAACAGAACTGGACAGAACAAAAGAAAATGAATGGAAGAGCCCAACTTCTGGGTGCAAATGGAATAGAATAAATCTGTGCCTCTCAATCAGAATGTCACTCATCAGCTTCACATCTGCATTTAAAAAATGAGGACGGTTGTGGAAAAATGCAAAGGTTTTAAGCTTTCAATAAAACTGCTTGACAAATGTAAAACACTAATTCAATCTGTCCAAACAGAAAGGGTATGATTAATAAAAAAGGTAGGGAGATAATGTGGAGAAATATCAGGTGTTTCTGGGGATAAATGAGTGGAGGAAGCATTAAAACGCTTCGCACTTTTGAGCAGGGAATGCAGAAACCCCATCGAAGAATGCAAAGTCCAGGAGCAGACAGAACTATTACTTCTAAATTTAAAGAAAACTTGAAATTTTTCTTTGCAATCATCTCAATGGAAGCAAGTGATTGCCTCCCCAGGAGAGACAATCAGACATTTTAAGGCTACAATGTATGCTGATTATCCCCGGCCTCGGTGCACACCTAAATTACCAACTAGGAGGCTTTGCCTTCATTTTTCAATGATCTATTACCTAGACTATATGTCAATTACCATCCTCTTGTAAGGGCTACATCTTCCTGTCTTGTAATGGAGCCAGTTTAATTGGCTGCAACCTCCACACCTTTCAGCATAGAGGACAGAAAGGAGAAGAGAACAATCTGCAGTCGATGACCGAGGGACAAAGCGGCGGCCGCCGGCCCCACTCACCGTGCTGCGTGAAGAGGTCGCTGTGAATGATCTCGATCAAGCAGTACAGCTTCTGGATGGTCAGCAATCCCGTGGGCACATTGAGGATGAAATCAGTAAACATTTTACTGTGAGAAAAACACAAGGGAGAGATCTTAGGTGTGTCCAGCAACACAGTCCCGTTTCGCCAGACAGCATGGACGCTCCGAGCAGCCCTCACATGCCGCCAGACACTGGACGGCGGCCATGACAGGGGCGGTCATGTTGGAAGAAAGGATGCTCGACAGCGTCATTTTTCACTTCACACCCACCGAAGTGGTCATAATCCAAACAACAGGGTGAGGAACCTGGGCTCAGACAGGTAGCAAGTGGAACCTCGTGCCCGGCTGGGCGGGAGGCCGCGCTGCCCTCTGCAGCTGGGTGGCAAGACACAATGACCCCAAGACACCACCCCACTCTTGGGGTGCACCAAGAGAGTGAAGGTCTGCACGCACATGCGAGCCAGGCACCATCCTCACGAGACTCAGAGCATGGAAACATCGGGACGTGCCCCCCAGGGTGGCTGGGCAGACGAGGCGTCCACACATTCAATTCAGCTGTTAGAGGGAAACGCTGCCACCGGCTGAAACAGGGTGGCCCCTGAAAACACAACGCCCAGGGAGCGGAGACCGTCACAGCCGCCCGCAGAGCGAGCCTGTAAGGCCAGAACGGCCCGGCCACGGCGACACAAGCAGGTGGGGTCCTGGGGCCCAGGGGGTGAGAAATGACTGGGAGTGACCCCAGGGACCTCACTCGGAGGAAACTTCTAAAATTGGGGAGCGCTGAAAGGCAAAGCTGCTGAAAACCAATTAAAGAACTTCCAAACTGGCGAACATTTTGCCAGGTTAATTCTATCTCAGTAGAGCTGTTTTAACCACTTAGATTTAGGACAAACGGCCAGAAGGCCTACATAGGCGCGGCGGAAAGAGAGATCTGACTCGGGGACCGGGAAACGCCAGCTGAAGTAGCGACACGTCCTCACCCACGCACGCCGGCCAGCTCTGTAAGATGCTGCAGGAACTGGCAAGGTTTGGGGAGACAGACACCAACGTAGAGTGGCAAAAAGTCAGGGTCCCTTTTGCAGGACAAGGATGACATCTATTAAAGATCTTTTAAGAAAACGCGAGCCTCCGCTATTCCCCTTCTCTGCTTACCCTAGAGCCATAAGGCGGCAGCGCTCAACGAGGCCGACACCCCTGCGTGTTCTGTGGTGACAGAGAACTGGGCACAGCCTGGAGCCTGCAGCACGGAGGGGCCTGTCCTCCGTAACCAAGCAACCAGGATGGGCCACTCACAGTGGCACAATCATGACCAAGGCATTTAGCAGAAACGCGGCCAATACGAACACCTGTGGCCGGCGCGGGCAGGTGAACGGAGCCATTCGGGCCAGTTATTTGGGCACATCTATTGGTGAAAAAACATGTAGTCAGGCCCACCACTGGCGCTGTAATGACCAGTGAGCCTGTGTGGCTGGAAAATCCAAGACCGTGATGTGGACGATCACATCCCGGGGCAGGAAACAGATGTCCTGTGCAGGAGCCATCGTTAAAGAAAGGAGGTCTCGGCCTTGTTAGGGGGCCTGAAAGTGCACGTGGCAGGACATGCAAACCCGCGAGTAACGTGGGACACACGGAATTAAGTTCCCGTTACACTCCTGTCTTCTGTTTCCTCAAACAAGACTCAGTTTTGTAAAGAGGAGAAAGTACAAACCTTACTTCCAGTCCCATGTTTTGAAGCGGGAGTAACACATGGAGAGGAGTGCTCCAGGAGATGCCCAGGGACCCAGCTCCACCCGGGAGGACCCCCCTGGCTCTCGGGCACCAGCTGCACCCTCTGGGGGGCACAGGCCAGGGCAGGCCCAGAAGGCCAGGACACAGCCCACGGCCTGCACCCTCAGCTCTTGCCCAGATGTGGGAATTTCCTGGACACACCTGAGGGTTTGTGAGGCTAAGAGGCTGGCCCCACACCCCCCATTTCTGATTCAGAAGGTCTGGGAAGGAACCTGAGATTCGGCAGGACTCTGACACGTGCCCGGGGGCAGCAGTGTGATTGTGGGACAGCTGTGAGGCGGAAGGGTGAGCCCGGGACGCAGGAGAGCAGACGTGCGGCCCAGAGGAGGCCAAGCTACAGCCTGTGCCGTCAGCTCCCCCGGGAGCAGAAATAAATGCGTCAGAGCAGGACAGTAAACGCCCAAGCCCACAGTGACGAGATGGGGAGAGAGCCCCCGAGGCCCCCAGCCTGCCCCCCAGGGGTGTTCACTGCTCAGGCGGCCCTCCACGAATATTTCAGTGGCCTTGTTTTTGGCTGGTAGAGATGGTGCAGGTACTTTATCTGCTCTGTCAAATGTTAAATCAAAACCGGGTACTTTATTTTTGTGTCAAATCAAAACCAAAACAAAAGGCAGACGCAGACTGTGCTGGAGCTGCCGGGGTCAAGGGCCTCACATCCCGTCTGCTGGAGACACACGTCAGGACGCCGGGGCAGGTCCACACACGCAGGCCCGAGGGAGGTGGAGGCGCGGTGCAGGCTGGGCTGGCGTCTCACTGTTCTCTCCCTTGGGCCACAGCCCCTGGGTGAGAAGCTCCAAAGGGGAGAGAAGCCGACATGGGGCAGGAGGGGCCGCAGGGGCGCCCAGGCTGCTGTGCCCCAGGGGCAGGTGCGAGGCCAAGGTCCGGGGACACACAGCGAGGTCTGCATGGGGGTGGCCCCTCCCCGGGCACTCCCGAGGCTGGTCTCCGCTGTGGACCCCACTGCTAGCGCATGTCCCGGAATGACCTGGACCTGGACCCAGAGGGGCCCCCTGCAACTCTCTGACGAGGCGGCCAGGCCGGTGTGGGAGCCTCCCCGGCGGCGTCCTCACCTGAGCTCTTTGGGATCGAACACCAATTTCACGTCATTGACAATGGTCGGCAGGTATTTCAGCGCCGCCCCCTGCAAAGGAGAACAAAGAAGCATGTTGAGCTGACCCGGTTTGGCAAAGATGAGCAGAGCTGCCGGGGGGCCGCGGGCAGGTCCACTGCCGTGACCCCTGGGCATATGGGGTCAAAGGCGCAGCCCCTCGCACCAACCAGGGCACTGCCACAAAAATTAACTTCAGCTGGGCCACAGCTCGGGCGTGTAAGGCTTAAAACTATAAAACATCCAGAAGAAACTTCTGACTTGGGCCAAGCAATGATTTCTTAGACATGACACCAAAGGTATAACCTGAAAAGGAAACCCCGACAAACTGCACCCGCACAAAGGACTTCTGCTCTGTGAAAGGGGGGACAAGAGAAGCCCTGGGGGGCGTGCCCCACATGTGAACAAGGTCACTACCCAGCAGCCAGAGAACTCCCAAACTCAGTAAGAATGTACCCCCACCCCCAAAAATGAGCCAAAAAGATTTAAAGAGACACTTTGCCCAAGACGGCAGGGGGTGGCTCAACAGCACTTGAAAAGCAGCTCAGCACCATGACCGGGAAGGGCCAGTGGCCACACAGGAGGGCACCACATGCTGGAAACACTCAGGGACAGCAGACCTGACAACACCAAGTGCCACCGGCTTAGCCAGCTGGTCGGTTGCAACCCAATGCAGCCACCTGGGAGAGCACTGTGGCCCGGCAGCCCACATGGGCCACGCACCTCCATGCACCTGCACCTGCACCTGCAAGCCAGGTGAGACATGCACCTCACAGGGCCGGAAGCTGCCCTGTGGGCACCAACAGTACCGAGGGAAATGAGAACCCCCGTGTGGGTGTTTAGAGCAGCTTGTAACTGTCAAAAAGGAGAAACAACTCGAAAGTCCCTCAAAATTGAGTCCACACCACAGGACGCCAGGCCCACCGCAGACAGCAGTACCAATACAACGCGCAGCAATGCCAGGCCCATGACAAGCTGGTCTGAACTGAGTGAGGCTCCAGTTTGGGGGGCTGGGGAGCCAGGGCCACGGGGCTGGAGGAATCTAAAATGCTCCAAAAGCTCCATTCTGTGTGGTTATGTTTTAGAACATTCTGGGAAACGCAAAACTACAAGGATGGGACACACAGTGTGGCTGCAGGGGGCAGAAGGGGTGGGGGGCAGAGGGACGGACAGGTGGACGGAACTCCTGGGCGTCACTGCATGCACGTCAAACCTGAATTTTAAACAATGAATGAAAGCACAGGCTGGCCGGAGCACGGGGAGTCCCCGAATGGTCCGAGCCTCGGCTGCGGCAGGTGGGCAGGGAGACCCGGTCTCTCCCGCTGGGGTCAGGTTTCCTGATGTGAAGGGCGAGGCCATTCTGCACGTGACAGACGCCGTTCCGGGGCGCTGTGGACGCAGCGAGTCCTTAGCACAGCCTCAGGGACAGCTCGGCCACGGCCCTTCCACGGTGATGCAGCAGGGGCAGAGCCGGGGGGCCGCCTGCCCAGCCCCACCACCTCCAAAGCTGACTCTGTGAAGACGCCACACTCGATGGACCCCGGGTTCAGGGAGACGGGCCAGGGAAGCCACGTCACCGGAATCTGCACAATGGAGCCACCCCCGGACTAGCTCTGCGGAGTGCGGAGCTCGCCTTCCCTCCCAGGCCGGCGGGCCACGCTGCTGCTTGGAGACACAACGTTTGCAAAGAGCGTTAGACAGAAACAGCTGCATTCTGGGTTCCAAAGTTCTGCTTCGGCTCCTCAGAGCTGCTTTGAAAACTGAAAAATGCATGCGGTGACATTTAATAACTCTGCATTTGCACAGGTCGGCTGCTCAGACCCCACATTGTACATTTCATCGTGACCATCCCGGCGGGTAAGGAGCCATCGGCTTCGTGCATCTTCTCTGCTGCCCAGCGGAGCACTGCCTGCCTCCCGCCACTCGCAAGCACCACCCACGAGGGCAGAGCAGGCAGACGAGACCCCGGATGCCCAGCTTCTGCACACAGCAGGACCTCCGTGACCCTCATGGCGAGGAGAAGCTGCAGAACAGTTGCTCTCCAAGGCCCCACACCCCTGCTCGGGGCCCAGGGAGCGAGCGTCCTTGTACACAGCGCTGGCCTGGCATTGGGAGCTGCTGCCCTGCCCAGCACCCCTATGCGCCCCCCACCCCCCGTCAAAGCCTGCCGCACAGGGCCGCGTTGACCCCAGCCCCAGCTGTCTGCAGAGAGCCTCAGGTGTCATGGACTCTGCACAGCCTTGCCCCAGAGGCTCCTGTTCCCGGAGGGGCTGCCGCTCCAGGGGCCCCCACACGGTGGGAACCCCGCCTGGGGTCAAGCTCCAAGGGAATCTTCTCCAGACAAAGACACCCCCAAAATGCAAGTCCCAAATGCAGGCAAGGCAGCTAGGCTGCGGCACCCACTGGAGTCCGCCGACGTGGTCAGGGCCGGCCCAGCCGAGCTCCCACGGGTCGCAAAGGCCACCGCAGAAGCCTGGGGTGGCACTTCCAGCAGGCGGGTCTCGCGCAAACGTCCACAGGGGGAGGCCCTCCCACCTCGGCACCCCGCTCAGAATATGTGTGACTCTTTGGAAAGGGGCAGGAGAGGCCGGGACACTCACGCTGCAGCCCTGCCCACGAGCCTCCTGGGCCCTGGCTGGTCCCTGCAGACACTGGACAGCAACTGACCCCTCATTTGTGGGTTTGGGGAGGGGGACGGGCAGGCCTGGGGTATGTGCCAGGACACAGTGCTGTGCTTTGGGGGCGGGGGAGGCATTTCCTCCAGTCCTCCTGGAGCCAGGACCTCTGCCCACGGGGCCCGTCTGCACCCGCCTCGTGGCAGAGCCCCACCGGACAGAGAGGAGCAGCTCGCGAGACTCTGGGTGGATGCACTGCACTGAGCTGCGCTCCTTCCTTCTCTGCTTTTTAAGTCATAATTAAATGTCTCAAAGTCATGTCTGCTTTTTAAGAAAGTTATTTCAGATTTGACTTGAAACCTGGCTGGATTAACAAAATGGCAGCCAAAGCCCCGGCTTGCGTTTCGCTTTGAACTCAGGGAAGCTCCATCTGCCACCCGAGGATGAACAGCCCTGCTGCCGGCGAGGGCTCGCGGGCATCGTGGTGGGCACTGCCATGCCCAGGCCCTGAGCAGCCCCGCCCTGGGGCAGGGAGAGGCCATGGAGAAATGCAGCATCCGCCGAGGCACAGGCTCCTGCCACCAGCCCTGCCGAGGCCAGAAAGGCCCCAGGGCAAGCAGAAGGAGCCTCGGCCCTGGGGGGCTCGTCCAGGACTACGGCCGCGGCTGGTCCCTCCTCATGCCGGCCCTGACGGCTCGGGACACTCAGGCGTCGCTGCTCCCGGGGGCAAGGGAGGGCAGCACGATGTGAATGGACAGAAGCACACAGACACCCAAGCTTTAGAGGGAGTCGAGCAGAAGCAGAAAAGGGCAAAAGATGCTAAGAGTTTTCTAATTGCTGAAATAGTTCAGGTTAAAGAAATTCAGTAAATTTTATACTCTCCCTCAGCTCACTTAATTGTCATGCATCTCCTGAGAATGCCAACCTAATCCAAACTGTAAAACAAAACAAAAAATGCACCTTCTCTCCAGTATCGGTTTAATGTTGTAAGTGTCGCGCTGGCTAAAAATATTACTACTGATGATGATTAATAGACACTATTTTAGGGTAAAGTTCAGGCTACATTATTCAGTATAATTATTTTAATTAAATCCATTAGCATATCTTTATATAAGATTACAAGAGCTATCGGTGATACAAAATAAGTTTTTCTTGAATAATGTATGAAGCAATTATTAATTTACATATTTCTCAAGAAAACGCATATTAAAATGATTCCTTCTGCAGGATTTGAGCTAAAATATATATGGTCCACAAATTCTCTTTTCAGACTTAGGTGTTCCATCTTTGGGGACCTGGGGCCCAGCCAAGCAGTTCCGACAGGAATGTGGGCAGCACCAGCCAGGCCGCAGGTGCCTGATGCTCAGCCTGTGCTTTCATGTTGGATGGACGGATGAACCACAACAGAGGGCGGCCCGGATGGCTCCTGCTACCACAGAAGGGGAGCACCGGAGAGTCGGGGTGCCAGGCTCACGTGGGGGAAATGAAGATGAGGTGTGGACAGTGACGGCCACACCATTCTGTGACTCTACAGCATTTGCTTTGAAACGGTCGGTTAGGGCTAGCAGACTTGACAACAAAAAATAAACATCTGTCTGACGATAAAATGCCATTTCATTGCAGCAGCCCCAGGACTGTTCTGCACTGTGGGTTTGCTGCCTGCCACTCGAGCTGGACCCCAGGTGACCGACGCCCGAAGCCCCCGCAGGGACAGCCAGCCCCTTGGAAACAGCTCGTGCTCCAGCTCGGCTAAAACAAGGTGAAATGAGTCACTGGAATGATGCGCCCCAGGTCGCTGCCAGGCCCGCTGGACGGCCACATCTCGCTGAAGCCACCAAGGCTTTCATTAAGCAGAATGCACCCCAGCCTGGCAGGGCAGAATCCGCGGGGAAACAGAAAGGAGGGGCTCCGTGTCCCCAACACCAGCTTGTCCCTACGCCACCCCGGACACACCTTCACCCTCGGTACAGTTTTGGGGCCTCAGCAGACAGCTACCAAATAGGTGCAAGGATTTAAAACATCAACATCCGGACGAACAGCTTTTCAAAATACACTTAAAATCCAAAATACACTCAGAGCTGGAGAACGGGAGTTCTCATAAACGTCGCCAAAGTAAAGCTTTGGGGCAGGTAAAAATATTCCAAGTCCATCTCCTCCTCCTCTTCCAAAGAAGAGGCCAGGCAACGTGCCTCCTCGGGGCCAGAGATTGAAGCCCTAGGCCACAGGGGTGCCCTTCACCCCCCACCCACTCTTCCTGGCCCCCTGATGGCTGGACTCTGGGCACCTGCTTGAGGGAGGAAACCGAGGGAGGGCACAGGGCGTGAGAGGAGAAACAGGCCTGCCTGACCAGCCAGTCAGTGGAGGAGACTGCGGGAGCCAAATTGGCAGGTAGAAGGAACGGGGTACAGGAGGGGGTGA